CAGATTAATTTGACGTGAGTGTCTAAGTTAATCATTTTGAGATAATTAATTTATTTATACATTTTTGTCTATTTAAATTACCCAGAGTTCAGTCGAGATTATAAGATTTTCTTTTAGTTTAGCAGTCTCCGATTATTCTAGCCATTTTCGGTATCGTCGAAATTATTATTTCTCGACTTCTTAGAATTTATTCGAGACTCATATTAGTAATTAGCCTCACTTTGTCGGCACTCCTAAGCTCATTAGTTTCAGCTCATGTGAGCTTCATAGTTCGGCCCAATTGTAGTAAAATTTTCGGCCCAATAGAAATTATATTTTTCCCCTTTGTAATCGTCGTCCAGAGCAGATTTCTCACCCTAAACCCTTCACGCCGCAATTAAATCAGATTTTTTTTTTCATCTCTGTCGATCGAGCATCAGATTTTCAAATTGTTCTCCCGAAATCGCCACAAATCCGAGCAGAGACCCTCAGCTGTCCGCGCACCATCCTCTCAACCCTTGTAAGCCATGGTCTCGCACCCCATCGTACACAAATCTCAGAACCAGTCCCGTCGACCTATCTCAGCCGCGAACGCCGCCGGGGAAGAGAACTCCGCCCCTCTGTTCGCACGTCAGAGCAGGTCCAGAAAAGCCATCAGCCTTTGCCGTGGCGAGCAGTACCACGCCGTGGGTAGCAGCAGCAACCCATCCTTCGCCGGCAAACCTCCGAGCAGACCCCGCCGGTGACAGTAAACAACCCCAGCGACCCGCCGAGTAGCACATCGCAGGCCGTCCGATTTACAGCAGCCCTTGTCGTGAGTTTCAGCGACGAGCCGCGACCGGGAACTTACGACCGAGCAGCAGGTCCCGTCCGTCCGGTCAGCCCTTCGCCGCCGCGTTGTATCAGCCTCCACCCGTCGGTAACTTCAAGCAGCAGCCGGTCGAATTCGAAGTAGCCGTGAGGAGTTCGCAGCCCCTGTTCGATTTAGCGGCCGCTTTCAAGAAATCAGAGGTCGTCCGGGAAGACGGGATCAGCCACGCGGGGAGCCGGCTTGCAACACGGGAGCCGAGGGCTTTTCCGCGTACTTACCATCTATTCCCGAAAAGCCGGACAGAGTTCGTCGAGTCTTGTTCCGTTGCCAGCCGGAAATGCATCTGTTCAGTTGTCAATTTGGCAAACGGAACTCGAGTTACCATAAGCAGCAACCCTTTTCGGGCCCGTGAGAGAAGAGTAGCAGCCACGAGTTGTCCAGAGCTTTATCGAGCTTTGTCGAGAGCCCAAGTCACAGCTCGTTAGATCAGCGGGCGTAGCTGACATCATCACAGCAAGTCGAGCCGTTTTCCGAGATCTTCAGTCGAGACCTTTTCCCGTTTTGTTTCAGCCCTTCATTGATCCTTGAAGGAGGTATACGGCTGTACCTTACCTTTATATTATTACGGGTTATTTTGAAGGATTTATCATTTATGTAAGTCTTGAGTTCATGGCAATGAGACGCATTATTTTGTTCAATGCATGAGATAAGAGCTGTTAATTCTTGAGTTATTGATATTGATGTTGAACTCTCGTAAGGATGCCTTATTAGCCTCTGAAATTTAATGTTTTGATGATTAAAAAGGGTCGGGATAGTTAATTTCAAAGTTAAATGATGATCATATTGCTATGTTTGGAGCTTTGACGGGTTTCGAAATATTTATATATTTATATAAATTGAGATGCTGGGTTTTTATGAGGTTTAAACCTCTAAGTCATGATTAAAATTAAAAGTGGAGTTCATTGCCTTAGAAATATTTGTTAAAATTGGTTTTTATTTATTGAAAGGCGAGCCTTTTTGTTTCATGATTTTAAAAACCGGATAGTGGACTACTGAAAATGTTTTTGTATTGGTCATAAGAGGTGTCGTAAAGGTCGTAGTTGTTGGGATAAGCTGAATTGCGGTGCCGGGCCACAGCGGCCGGGTGTTGCCAGGACTGCTGCCGTGAGCTCGCAGGCGCGCCCGTACAATGGCGGGATGTATGCTTGCCGTGTACATCGCGTGCCGCGAGGCCCGCGTGTTAGTAGCATGTGCGGCCCCGTGTTGCCAACAACCCGCCTAGCTATCCTCCCGCAGCCCAACACCAGCTCGACATTCTCCTCACGTCCAGTACCAGTGCTAGCAGCAATTGTTAGCAGCAATTGTGGCCGTGCCCGAGGGCACGTGAGCTACCAACTGCCAAACCGAGTGCAGGGCCGAGGCAAGCTGCCGCACAAGGTGCACCTGGAGCTACCCGCGAACTTGACCTGAGCCACTGGCTAGGTACCGGACTGCACTGGCCGAGCCAGAGTCGAGCCTGAGTCAAGCCCGAACACATTTTATATTATATTTTAAGTTGTTCAGAATATCCGGAGCTATTTTAGCATTTTTATAATACATCCTGAGTTCTAAAATGGTTTTCCGGGTCGAGGCTAATATTAGATTTTAAAAGAATAAATTTTGAGAATTTTTAAAGAGTCTGAATCGAGAGTTCCAACATCTAAGAAAGAGTAGAAAGTCTATAAGTCATGAACTTTAAGCTAGAAATCCTTCAATTAGTAAATTAATTTACCGAGACAGAATTAGTAAATTAAGCTAGAAATCCTTCAATTGGTAAATTAATTAGTTATTTATCCAAGTATCGCGTAATTTTATGTAGATTATGAGGAGCCCTCGAGTTTCCACATAAGCGACAACACTCTTTTTTAGCAGAGTCAGAGTATCCAGGTGGGGAAGTCTATCTTTTACATCATTCTGGTTAAACATTATGGTATTTTTTGCCGTTATTTGCATGAATTATGTGTTTCCAGTTTTTTAAGTTTTTACGAACAGGTTGTGATTTTCTCTGTTATTTTTATCTATCGTTGTCTGTCTCTAAAAGTTTAGTTCATGTCAGCAGGGAGCATGTTGTTTCTGGAGTTCGTTCCATTTCAATTGATAAAATATATTCCTAATACATTACGAACTAGTATGTATCCCGTGCGATGCACGGGTAGATAAAATTAGAAAATATTATAATTTGACATGCATTCCTTTATAAGGGAGTTATAATACGTAGGAAAATTATTCAATCATGAAATATTTGTCGCAAAAAATCATATATTATTAAAAATCTCATTGTCCACAACATTATGAGTTTGATCATTGAGTAACTCGTCGTTCCCACAAACTAATATTTTCAACCCATTCTATTTGTTACACGTGAAACATCAATATATAATTGGTCGTGTTACCAAAAACAGGATTCTTGAGGAACAGACCAACGTGCGAGAAATATTGCCTCTGACTCTTGTTTATAGCCATGACATATGAACATAAGTGGGAACTGTCGCCGCTTGAACGTAAATGGAACCCTAAGACCTGATTGAGTGGTATTAATTCTTGGAGTCAGTACCTTTTCAACAGCGTGATGTACTGTCAATATCTTGTATTCGAGCACCCGAGTTATGGGTGCGGAAGAACGACATGTTTCAAGCAATCATTCTTTTTATATATTATCTATTAATATAAGAAAAACTAAGTAAAGTATATTATGTAATTGAAGTATGAATTGAAACACAATATATTATTTGTTAATCTGATAATGGTAGACTATGATGTGTATGCAGCACACTCTGATAATGAGAGGAA